TCATAAATTTAAGCTGTGATATAAAACTGCCACATTGTTTGTGAAACTTAGAATAAGGTGTAATCTGAACCACAGAGTTACTAATGTCATGTTAACCCACAATACTGTAATTTTTGTGTTTGCCTGTTCAGTTTTGAAAAGAAAGCTCAGTTGTATAATAGTTAGCATGCTACAACCTGAGACTATGTGCATTAAATCTAAGTTGTTCGCATGATTGACCAATTTCCGATTGTCTCTTTACATATTTTTTTTTACTAATTTATTTCTACTCAGCTTCCAAACTGAACAAGAGAGCATGTGACGGAACTGAAGACCTTAAAACCCTAAAAAGCCCGTACACTGAAACATCTCAGTTAAGAGTTTCTAACATGGTGTACAAGGCTGTTTATGCAATAGCTCATGCTATTCACAATGCAATATGTCAGGAAACAAATGCAACCACACACTGTGATAAATACATCAGACTGGAGCCCCAACAGGTCAGCTTGAATAATAAGTGAATCCCAGAGTTTTAAATCGGTTGTAAATTTCTTCTTTATCAATTTCTAACCAAGCTACTGATTTCTGCCTGCCTCTTTTTCTTGGTTCATAGGTTTTAACTGAACTAAAAAAAGTAAACTTTTCTCGAAATGGCTATTATGTGTCATTCGATATTAATGGGGATCCCATAGCTTTTTATGAGCTGGTAAACTGGCAAAAGAGTCAGAGTGGAGTTACTGAACTGGTAACAGTGGGATATTATGACGCATCACTGCCAATGGGGGAACAGTTTCGTATCAACAGGAACCTAACCTGGCTGGAAGATGGCACACAAGTACTTATCAAATGAAGAAGTTGTGAACTAGTTAGACAAGAATTTCCCATAATAATCGTTTAAATGTTGCCTCTGTTTCTGTCCCAGGTCCCAGTCTCCGTTTGCTCAGAGAGTTGTCCTCCAGGAACTCGTAAAGTGTTGCAGAAAGGAAAACCAATCTGCTGCTATGACTGTGTACCATGTCCTGAAGGAGAGATCAGTAATATGACAAGTAGGTTTATTTTCTATGTAAATCACATCATCAAAATAAGAACTGTTGTAATGGCTGTTTTTATTTTTAGATGCTCCCGATTGCTTCCTGTGTCCCAGAGAGTTCTGGCCTAATGCAGAGAAGAACTATTGTTTTCCCAAACCTGTGGAGTTTCTTTCGTTTGATGAAGTCCTGTCAATCATCCTGGCTGTATTATCTGTTGGTGGAGCCTTTCTGGCCATTATTACAGGAATGCTTTTCTTCCATCACAGAACAACACCGATTGTCAGAGCCAACAACTCTGAGCTGAGCTTCCTGCTGCTCTTCTCTCTGACTCTGTGTTTCTTATGTTCACTAACTTTCATTGGAGCCCCCTCTGAGTGGTCCTGCATGCTGCGGCACACAGCGTTTGGCATCACATTTGTTCTCTGTATCTCCTGTGTTCTTGGGAAAACTATAGTGGTTCTAATGGCCTTTAAAGCTACACTTCCTGGTAGTAATGCTATGAAATGGTTTGGTCCTCCACAACAAAGGATGACTGTAGTGTCAATCACCTTAGTTCAAGTTATAATATGTATCATATGGTTGGTTGTGAGTCCTCCCTTCCCAGTGAAAAATCTGAGCACCTACAAGGAGAAGATCATCCTGGAATGTGCGTTAGGCTCTGCTGTTGGTTTCTGGGCTGTGCTCGGCTACATCGGCCTGCTGGCTGTGTTTTGCTTTGTGTTAGCTGTTCTAGCTCGGAAACTACCTGATAATTTCAACGAAGCCAAGATGATAACCTTCAGCATGTTGATATTCTGTGCCGTCTGGATCACCTTCATCCCAGCTTATGTCAGCTCTCCTGGAAAATTTACTGTGGCTGTGGAGATATTTGCCATTCTGGCCTCCAGTTTTGGACTGATACTGTGTATATTTGCTCCAAAGTGTTTCATTATTTTGTTTCAACCAGAGAAAAACACTAAGAAATATTTAATGAACAAAAAGTAGGAGTATGTCATGAGGCGACTGAAATCAAAATGTACATTAAGCAATGTTATTGTAGCTGTTAAACATTTGATCCACCTCCATTTCATTTCACAAAGCTTTAAAGTATCATAAATATCAGCTGCATGAGAGATTTTGTTGTTTGTGTTGTCTTGTTTCAAAAATAAATCATACAATAAACTGTACAAAAAGTAATATTGAGGTAAGTTCTCACTTGAATACGGTACTTAATTATTATCAACATTTGGATTTAAAGTTTAAAAACATCCTGAAATATGTTACTTATTTTCATGGCTAATGTCCAACTCATCAGCCTGAGTACAAGATGCATCATACTGACTTAATGACAGGATAATCCATGGATGATCAGTGACAGAATGTTTGAAGGAAATGCTGCATGACTTCAAAATAAAATCTTTTAATGGACGAACTAACTATAAAAGTAATGTGATGTACACTTTGATGCTTTACTTGTAATGGTTTTGTTTCCTTTATTGAAGAGTAAAATCTTGTCTCCGTTTATATTGGCTTGTAAAAAGTAAAGCAGTTTAAAAAATACATACTATTGCATTAAAGTTCAAGCAAAATGCTAATTTTAAAGGTTTGGGGTTAGATCACTAGAATATCACATTGGACCAATTAAAAACAGACATCTTAAGCACAAATGTCAAACTTCTGAAAGTATTTACTTCTTAATTCACTCAACACTTGGATGGACCTCCTCTGGCATGATTTTCTTCAATAATGCGCCGAGGCATGGTGGCGCTGCGTAGGTCATCTTCCTCTGGTGTCTCTCAGCTTCCCGTTTGACAGCCCAGAGATTTTCTAAGGGGTTCAGGTCAGGTGGAGTTTGCTGGCCGATAAAGAACAGGAGCCCCACAGTCAATGAAGCAGCTCTGGGTACCTTTGGCAGTGTTAGCAGGTGCTAAATCCTGCTGGAAACTAAAATCTATTCAACCTCATCAATAACTGTGTCATGATCAACTGTGCCAAAAGCCATCCTGAGTTCCAGTTACAGCTGCTCAGAGGTTTCAGATACAATCTTTTTAAGACATATGTTGCCTAAAGCCTTTAATGTTCCCATCTTACTGTGGCGCTTTAGTTAAAAACGTGAATAAAAAGCACACAAGG